GGGGGGGGAATAAAGAGGGAGAAATGGGGAGGGGGCTCTCGGCATGCTCTGCGGATGTCCTGGGAGGATTCACTTTGTCTGCGGATAGAAGGGACGCTGGTGGCTTCGGTGGCGGATGGAGGGGGGTGGTTGTTGGTCATCCACATGCCACCCAAGATGTTATTCACTGCTAACAATTACCATTATCTGTCCCCACTTTTGGCTAATCAGACAGAATATGTAATGATGACGCCTGTTTCCTGCTGTCTTTGGGAGGTAACGGGTTATTCTCTCATGGGGGTGGCGGGAGGGGGGGGTTACACCTACTCCCATTAGGGCTTTAGCACTTGACTAATTCAGGTACTTAGCATCCTATAGACAGGGACGGTTTGAAAGCAGGCAGTGTTTGCAGTGGGGAGGACTGTTTATATAAACAGGACACCTCTGTAAACGACACTAATATTTGGGGTTAGGTGGCGATGGAAAGGAAGGTCCTCTTGAGCCGAGAGATTCCCCAGTAGCTGGACTCAATCCTTTCCTCGCAGCTCTTAAGGAAGGGGGTTCGGTTTGGGGTGGTATTTTTTTGGGGAGTGTGCGCAACCTACCATGGCCACATCTGGCAGGATCAGTTTTACAGTGAGGAGCATTTTGGATTTACCAGAGCACGATGCTCATAGCATAAAGCAAGCCTCTGACCATCACCACTCAGCGGAGAACTACACCGGCTCGCCGTATCGAGGGTGGATGGAAACAGACAGAAATCACTATCCCTGTGAGTATAAAACGGACAGGAATTCGCCATCTCCGAACAATTATCTTTCATTTGTTTCCCCCCTTCCTTTGAGGAAGATGCGGAGCAGTGAACTGACAGTGTACATAGCCTAGAGGACCGGGGGAATCGAGGCTGGGAATTTTATAAAAGATTACTGAAATGCAACAACGAAACAGCAGGAATGTCCCGGCCACGATCTTAGGACAGAAAAGAGGGTTTGGTTTTTGCTGTGGGTTATTTTGGGAGGTTTTGGGTCGTTTTTTGGGGTTTTTGGGGGGTTTATTTTGGTAGGTGTGTGGATGTTCCCAGCTATGGCAGAACCCAAAACCTCAGGCTGCGTTCACCTCTCTCTGTGCGTTTATCGCTTCGGCCCGCTTCCCAGATAATTTTTTTACCCCCGTTTCGCTGTTGCAAGAAATCCTGGTTTTTTGTGCTGAAGGGTTTGAGGCCACCCCACGCTCGGCAGAGGAAAGCTGAGCACTCCCTGTGCCTCGCCTCCCCGAGCTGCCGCCGAGCGCCTGTATCCATGCACCTGCCACGGCGGCGGGCAGGCTCCAGCTCGCAAACCCAGCTGTGCAGCGCACTGGCCGCACCTCGCACACATAACCGGTGTTTATACACGGATATACACGGCGTTTGTTGTACAGCCGTGTGTGCGCAGCGGGACATGGTCCTTTGAATGGCTGCGGGAGCACCACCGGGATAAGATAAATATTAAGGTAATCGAGCGGCGAGTGAAAAGCAGTAACGAAAGGACGGGGCAGCCGCATGTTCGTATTTCAGTCTGCAGGGAACACGAGGGCTGGCAGCCCGCAATCCTGCGGGGATTGCCGGCCGGGAAAAGCGGGTCCCCCGCGGGAGAACGGCCCGCTCCGTCCCGTGGGCTAGCTTTAGTGTCTTCGGGGGGTTAGCTCACATCTCTCGTTGACTGCTGGCATTAACCCGGCCCTGTAGACAGCCGGGGCTCTCCCTGCGAGAGGCGTTTCAGCTCTCGGCGGCCTCCTCGATGCCTGCCCCGCTCCCCGGCCCCGGCCGCTCCCTCTCTCTAACCCACTCGCTGTCCCCAGCTTCCGACGAGAGCGGCCCGGAGATGAGTTTGCCCGACTCCACCCAAAGGTCGCTCCCCGCCCGCGGCTCGGAGGCCGAGGAGAAGAAGAAGAAGCGGCGGGTTCTCTTCTCCAAGGCGCAGACGCTGGAGCTGGAGCGGCGGTTCCGGCAGCAGCGATACCTTTCTGCGCCGGAGCGGGAGCAGCTGGCCCGGCTGCTCAGCCTCACCCCCACGCAGGTGAAGATCTGGTTCCAGAACCACCGCTACAAGATGAAGCGGGCGCGAAGCGAGGGCCCCGGCAGCCCCCAGCCGCGCCCG